AGCTAAAAGCTAAAATCGCCCCTAAACCTTAAACCTAAGAAGCTCGACGTTCTCTTGCTACTCCAAGGAGGTTCACGGCGATTGTAGATCTTGCTTGAATTACCGAGGTCTATAGCTCCCGGTCTTAAACCATTCAGAAATCAATCGGTGTTCAAGAGGTAAACAACATGAACCCTAAAACCACTGTTTCATGTTTATAATCTTAAAACCATGAAAACTTGAACATGTGATTGTTGCTTGAAGTACTTTTCATATGAAATTATAAAACCGTAAAATATGAGATTGTTGTTTGGACTGCTTTTCATGCGAAATTTTGAAACCGTATATGAGGTTGTTGTTTGGACTGCTTTTCATGCGAAATTTTGAAACCGTAAAATATGAGATTGTTGTTTGGACTGCTTTTCATGCGAAATTTTGAAACCGTAAAATATGAGATTGTTGTTTGGACTGCTTTTCATGCGAAATTTTGAAACCGTAAAATATGAAATTGTTGTTTGTACTGCTTTTCATGCGAAATTTTGAAACATTAAAATATGAGATTGTTGTTTGGACTGCTTTTCATGTAACCCTAAATTTGATTATAGCTTTGTTTCTCATATGGATTGTTGCTTGTTTATATTAATATGAATTTATGAAATCCTAATATATGATTAACATGAAAATCGAATATGAATGCATGATCATCTTAATATTTCTCTAAAATAAAATAGATCACATCCTAACATAATCAAATATTAGTTTTTATGTTTTCACTTTACGTTTATATATAGCTTTTAAGCTTTGTGTTTTTATTTAATTATATTTTTTGTTTGCAGAATTTCTTGACTTCTTAAATGTCTTCGAGTAACAACGATAATGTTTTGAGGCAATGGATGTATGCAAGAACGGATCCAACAACCAATCTAGTCTCCGATGCATTCCTAGATGGATTGAAAGAGTTCATGATTGTTGCTAAAAGACATGCCTTATATATTCAGAAGAAGATAATGTTTTGTCCATGCATTAAGTGTGAGAATAAACACGCCTTGTCTGAGGAGATGGTAGCTGGCCACTTATATAACCGAGGGTTTATGGCCAACTATTTTGTTTGGGTTGCTCATGGAGAAGACTATGAGGCTGATAAACAACCATGTCCTATCGATGAAAATACAAGTATGTTCAGAGATTTTTCTACACATGTTCAAAACAACTATCTCGAGATGGTTACCGATGCTTTTAATGGACGTACGTCATCTAATCAGAATATGGAAGAAGAGCCCAACGAAGAAGCCAAAAAGTTTTTCAATCTGTTAAACGCAAGCCAGCATCCAATATATGGTGGATGTCGAGAAGGACTTTCACAATTTTCATTGGCGTCTAGGTTAATGACTCTGAAAACTGATTATAATTTATTAGAGAAATGCATGGATTCCATTGCTCAGATGATGAAAGACTACATTCCTGAAGATAACAATGCCAGTACCTCGTACTACGACACGAAGAAATTAATGAGATTTCTAGGTTTGCCTTACATTAAGATCGATGTGTGTCAGAAGAATTGTATGATTTTCTGGAAAAACGATGCAGACCGAGAAAGCTGTAGATTTTGTGGATCTAATAGATACAAAAGTGCAAAAAACCAGGAAGAAAGCAAGTTCCATTTCAGCGAATGTTTTATTTGCCCATTGCTGACCGACTGAAAAGATTATACCAATCAAAGAAAACAGCTTCACAAATGAGATGGCACAAAGAACATTATTCAACCCACGGTAGTGACGTAATGTGTCATCCTTCAGATGGTGAAGCATGGAAACATTTCAACCAGGTATTTCCTGAATTTGCGAATGAGCCTAGAAATGTTTATCTTGGTTTATGCACTGATGGATTTAATCCTTTTGGAATGTTTGGTCAAAATTATTCGTTATGGCCTGTTATATTGACTCCGTATAACCTACCACCTGATATGTGCATGAAGCGAGAATTTTTATTCCTCTCGATATTGATTCCTGGTCCAAACCATCCAAAAAGGAGCTTAGACGTATTTCTACAACCTCTTATAGATGAATTGAAATGCTTATGGACTGATGGAGTTGAGTCTTATGATGTATCAATGAAGCAAAATTTTACGTTACGAGCTATGCTTTTATGGACAATTAGTGATTTTCCAGCATATGCTATGTTATCTGGGTGGACTACTCATGGTCGTTTAGCATGTCCTTATTGTATGGATGAGACTGGAGCTTTTTGGTTGAAACATGGGAGAAAAACATGTTGGTTTGATTGCCACCGTCGTTTTCTTCCAAAAGATCATACTTTACGACGTAACAAGAAGAACTTCAGAAAAAATAAAATGGAGAATTCAGACCCACCAGCAGTATATTCGGGGGAGGAATTGTGGAGTGATCATGTATCTGGTTTACCAAGAACAGTTGATTGTGGAGGAGAAGGACTTCCAAAAATAGTGGGATATGGTGAAACCCATAATTGGCACAAGCAAAGCATATTTTGGGAGTTACCTTATTGGAAATATCTTCTCATTCGCCATTACCTTGATGTGATGCATATCGAAAAAAACGTTTTTGAAAATATCATTAACACGTTGTTGAATGTTCCAGGAAAAACGAAAGACAATCTTAATTCCCGTATTGACTTGGCAGAGATTTGCAACCGGAAAGATCTACATATGACTGATGATGGAAAAGCTCCACTTCCATTGTTTAGGTTATCTTTGGAGGAAAAGAAATGTCTTTTTGATTGGTTAAAAGATGAAGTCAAATTTTCAGACGGTTATGCATCAAGTATTTCTTCTTCTGATGGAGTAAAACTCTCAAAAATGAAAAGTCATGATTGTCATGTATTTATGCAAAGACTCCTTCCGATTGCTTTCGCTGAATTGCTACCAAACAATATTCATCAAGCATTGTCGGGTATGTTGCTTGTCTCTTTTTAATGATTTCCTTAAAAAAGAAAAATCAAGGCCAATTATGTTGAATTTTTATTATAGGTTTTTTTATATTACTTAATTTTTATTTTGACAGGTATAAGCTTGTTCTTTCGTGATCTATGTACACGGACTTTAGAAAAAGATTTGGTGGAAATTATGAAAAATAACATTGTTGTTATTATGTGTAATTTGGAAAAAATATTTCCACCTTCTTTTTTTGATGTGATGGAGCATTTGACAATTCATCTTCCTCATGAGGCACAACTGGGTGGTCCTGTTCAGTTCAGATGGATGTATCCGTTCGAGCGCTATATGTATCATCTAAAGAAAAAAGCAAAAAATAAGGCAAAAATTGAAGGATCCATCGTGGAACAATATGTGAACGAAGAAATTTCAGATTTCACCTCTTTTTATTTTGAAACTCATATCCAAACCAAGAGTCGTAATGAAACTCGGAATGATGACGGAGGTGTCGCATATGATTATTCATTTCCAGATATTCCTGAAATATTTTTACAAGGTGGACGAGGTAGTGGTAAGACTAAGAATGTTTGGTTAAATTCTAAAGATTACAACCATGTACATTCATATGTCCTTTTAAACTGTGGCTATCTGCAACGTTTTGAAAGGTATGTTATCTCTGTAATTTGATTTAATAATTATCTAATATATCTCTTTATCATGCTCTACGTACTCTTAGTTAACGTAGAGTACGTCGGTATATTTTTTTCTTACAAATGTTTAATACTCAAATTTTCTACTTGCTTGTATAGGTTGTTTGATGAGGACATGAAAAAAAAATATTCCACTACCGATGCCCTTCAATTACATGAGTTAAAAGAGTTGCAGTTTTCATCATGGTTACAAAAACATGTAAGTATTAAATTAATATATGTAATTATAAAAGTAAAAAATATATCTTGCTTATTATTAACTCTACTTAATTATTAATCTTCTTCCAGATTCAACTCGACACAAACCGTAGTGTATATCCAATATGGTTACATGAATTGGTACAAGGTC